GAGGAAACAGCAGCCTGATCCTCGGCTCCCTGATCGTCGCTCCCTTCTGGTTCGATCAGAAGGTCTTCGACAGAGAAACCATCGCCGAGGAAGCCGACGAAGGCCCTGTCAGAGGCAGCAACAAGCACCTCCATCTCCGTATATATAGTACCTCCCTAAAGTTGGTTTTTAATTGGCAGAGTGCTGAGAGCAATTAACCCACTTTCCCAGCTTATATATATTTGAACAACGAGTACTACTCCACGGCATTCTGAATTGCTTCCCACCCAAACTATGATGCTTGATCGCTTTCAGATTTTTTTTTTTTATGGCTCCTTATTGCTTCCCACCCAAACTATGATGCTTGATCGCTTTCAGATTTTTTTTTTTTATGGCTCCTGCTCCTTAATTACTTGACCAAAACAGTTACCTTTTTGTTTGTATGCGGCTCCTTTTACCATCGGTTTCTGTGCTGGGCCGGCTTAATTTCCTCAGAGAATATTGCTCTCTCATTCATTTTGTTCAAAGGCTCGACAAACAAGAGGCAGCTATACGTATGTGCTGGTGATGCTTATTGCTAGCTTTGGATGCCCCAGAAGCAAAAAAAAAAAAGCATCTCGCTGCTCTTGTCTGAAAGTAGTGAGCACGAGGCGATATGATTTCACCTGCAACTTCACCGACACCGAGGTCTTCTACTGCTTTTTTTTTTTTTATCTATCTATCTTTCCGTTTGCTTCACTCGATCATAATATACTGCCAATGAAATTTTTAACCACTTTCATTTGTCTCGCACTGTAATTTGCTTCGGTAGCAACTACCAAATGGCTACACCATGAGATCGATTAGTGTTTGTATTAGAAATTGATTGGCCGGCGATTGTATAATATTATTAGTACTGTGTAGATAATGGTGATCCGGCTAAGGCTTCCATGGTAAATACGTGGGCGTAATGTAACTGAGACAAGGACGTATGAGGTACAAAAATTAAGGAAGACTGCAAAATGAACCATACACTTTATTAACTGCAAAATTAAGATGATTCAAAGCCAAAAGATGGACTAGCCCATTGGATATAGTTACTCCATAACACGACAAGAAATGGAAATCGTAATAAAGATGCAATAACAAAAAAAATTCATCTGAAAATTAAAATAGGGTAGTAAGTATGCATGAAACCTTCTTCAGGTTTGACAATTTATTATAAAAACCCTAATATTATTTTTTTCATTACAGCACCCTATGATGTTATTAAAAAAAGAGATAAAACTCATTTAATTTATACTTTTTCTTTAAAATTAAAATACAATACCCGTCGTAATGCTTCTCTTCTTCCTCAAACTATTGCAGAACTAGCTAGTCTCCCCTAATTGGCTCACGTCAAACCCAAACAACCACAACCATGCATCAACAAATTAAGAGAGAATTAATAGAAGATCAGAGTAATGTCGTAATCCTAGAGGATGCATGGGAACTCTTTTAATGACTAGTGAACATCAAGTTTTGTTGGTTTGCCAATTCAATGGTAACATGCACACACAGTTTGTCAGGAAATCAATCACATACATTTCAATCTCATCTACTATCAAGAAAGCCATCTACTACAGTGCGGACAGCAATGGGGATCCTCACTGAATGAACGCCATCTTCCCACGATAAACTACCAAATGAGTATCTCCCCTGCACTCTAAACCTCGAATAAAATATCACCTTGAACGACAAACTCTTGAGAGTAGAATTGAATGACAACACTGATGGCTTAACCTTCACATTTATCCCAGGAGGTGCTTCTACCCGGCAACTGTAAACTGAAGTAACAGAACCAACATTTGTTACTGTTCTCACGACGGTTGCCCTCTCTCTTAGATGCGGAATAGAGATGGATGGGAGATTGAGGTTCTTCTGTGATTCAGGTGTTTGATTGTGGCACATAGTGGGATGTTCGGTCATTGAACTCACTGCTGAGTTGTTGTATTCCATCGAACAAAGGAAGTTAGTGTACTCTGGTATGCCCATGTCATAGATTAGACCAGGGTCTATGGCTCTATTCGGGTTGATGTGTCCACCTCCGTAGTCGAATGGGTCGGCTCTCTTGTGTGGTGCTCCCTCAGCTACTAAATCCAGATGGTAGTCATCACTTGTGGAGGCTGCAGGCCAAAAGACAAAACTCATGACCACAAATTGCAATTATATTTATTTGATTAGGGGAAAAAGATGGAGGATGCCCATAGCCTCTGATTAAACGTATTCACTCAAACGCTTTGAAGATGAAGTGCGTGTATGCCACTAACGAGGGAGTTAATATTAAAATTTGGATTGACACCCCAAATGAAGCAGTTAATGGTCAAATAAAGATATGAATTGTCAAACCACGGACATGCCTTTTCAGCCTCAAATCTGCACAGAAGGAGCTTGAAATATTTCTGTTGAAGACGGAGTAGTTTACCTGTTGTGATCAATGCCGATTTAATTGCAGCGGGACTCCACTTAGGATGAATGGATTTTAGGAGAGCAACGACAGCTGAAACATGAGGGCAGGACATGGAGGTTCCAGATTCGATCTTGAAGTTGACAGGAGGCGTGTTTGTTGAGAGAGTGGAAGCTGGAGACCATGAGGCTAAGATGTTCACCCCTGGTGCAGCAATGTCAGGCTGCCATGGAAAACAGAAGTATTTTGTGTGAACAGATCGAACAGAAAACCATCGGATTTTTTTTGCAATTGTGTGAGTTTGTAGAAAGATAAATGTTTTCTAGGATCAATGAGCACCAAATTACACGCAGAAACTAAAACACTCAAGAAATCACTAAACTACTAAGAGAAGCACCTTCAACACATAAGGAGACAATGAACTTGGCCCTCGTGATGAGAAGTAAGCCACTTCAGGGGGGAACATAGCTCCAATGGCCGTCTTTGTATGACCAAATTTGACAACCGCATCTCTGTGGTATAAGAAGCACACAGAGAAGATCGGCAATATCACCTTAGAATAATGATTGATAACAACTATGGTCATATTAGATTAAAGCCCTGACCACCATCCACCCCCCAAAAAAAGAATAAAATAAATAACTAAATGAATAAAAAAAATCTAAAGCCATGAGGAAATACTTTGTGCTCTCCACGTAAGTGAGGATAGAAGATCCAGTTTCAAAATCCACCTGGACGCAAGGGAGCTCAAACACAGGAGCGATATCTTTAGTCAAGAATTGAGCAAAGATGAGACCGGCACCATGAGCACTACTCACTGACTTTGCGGCAACAACAGGTGACCTCTGTCCTCGGGTTTGGAAGCAGACTATCACATTCCCTCTCGCTAAAGTAGCATTTAGAGAACCTGTATCACAACTTCTGAAAGGAGATAACGATGATGGATGTCAATTTCTCATCTTAGTGCAATTGGAACCGTTTCCATCACTAAAAATGTATACATTACCTAGCGCTATCCGCTTCTGCATTATCTGCAACTATGTCTTCAGCATACACTATTCGGTAGACTTTGTCTACATGTTTTCCAACATACAGTGATTGACCCTGGAAAATTTTCTGGTTATGAGAAAATATGAACTTATTTCACTATCCTACAGGCATCATTGTCAGATGTTAACCACGATAATAACTGTACTGCTTTTCTTTATTTTGGATGAACTTCAAGCTGCATTTTATTTCTACTTATCGGCATTTGCTGAATAGAATAAGATACATGAAGCTGACCCACAAAATTCAAAGATAAAGGCCCTGTGGTTGCCGCTGCTGATGTTGTTGCTGTTGTGTCTGGATCTAAACATTAAACAGCAGTCGAAAAAACGCAAGTGGCTCTGAAATGAACTGATTCTAGTTTTAGGCTTAACAAATGGTACTTATTAATGAGAAAATTACCTAGAAGAGGTAATGAGTACAATACCATTTCCGTAGGACATAGCACGGAAATTAATCAAAAAGGTTTATTAAAATTCATGAGCGTACTTGGCAGATAAATGCTTAATGATCATTCTAGTAAATAAAAAATGGCAAATTAGCATTAATTGAAACAAACGAAAATTAGTCTTTTAATCAAAAAGAGGAGGTGTGTGTG